TCGCTGATCCAACACAGCATCGACACTGGTGATAGCCGACCCGTCCGTTGCAAGATGCGACCAGTAAATGCAGAGAAACGAGCCATAGGAACCGTGCGCATCTAATTCAAGCCCCGACCAGGGCGCCCCTAGCGGCAAACGGGTCCATCGCATCGGGGAGCTTCTCCCAGTCGCTGCGTTGGTTGTGCCTTGTAGTGGGTTAGCGTTGTAATTTCTGAGATGGCTATTCCGCACCAAGAAAGCCGCAACAATTGCTGTGTGGTCGGCTGCAACAGTACGTCGAAGATCGCACACGGCACGAAGTACTACATCGTCCCTTCGAAGCCGTACGGCCGTACGAGGCGGAGTACTGCGCGACCAGGCTACAGGTGCGACTTGTGCGTCCATACAGGTTAGTGGCGTTTCTTACCTTTCTGTTCGCGCTTTGTTTAAGCTGCTGACGAATAATACGATTAACTTTTTTTCTATTCTAGCGACGATGGAACAGAATCGACACCGACGGCAAACTCTAAAGTGTGCGGCAAATACTTCACCGGAATCGAGAAGCGGAGTGCGGTCACCCACCTAAGCCTACACTTGGATGTTTCCATCAGTCTACAGGAAGATAGTAGTGGGAATCGCGGAACGGCGCGAAAAAAATCGCCCAGTTATTGTCAAGCTGATTCAGAAATAAACGTACATAATTACCACGGTCCACTCAACGCCAACTACATTTTTTGCGGGCACGCTTAATTTTGTTAGCGGAGTACGGCGCTCCGTTACATCCACTTGTCCGTCGAAACGGACCTCCTTCACGTCGTACACGCGGCCAGATTCACGAAGGAGTATCCCTTCTTTATATTGGTACTACGGAAGAAGCTTTCTAGATTCGTAACCGCCTTAAACCCCGTCGTAATCACCCCGGGAACACTGTCCGCTGTGCTGCTCGTCGCCATTGCTTCCCCCCGATGATTCTGCACCGGCTACCGAAGAAGTTTTCCGGATTCGTAATCGCCCTCTGTCCTCTGTGGTGTTCGTTGCTTTTACTTCCCAATGATTCTGCGCCGACGGCACCGGCTACAGAAGGAACTTTCCGAATTCGTAACTGCCTTAAATTCCTTCGTAATCACGACGGGGACACTGTCTGCCGTGCTGTTCGTCGCCATTGCTCCCCGATGCTCCTGCGGCGGCTACCGCTAGGTCGCGGCGAACAATAGGCGACCGCCGCGACACGGCCGGCATGCTCGCTTCCTATAATAGATGAATGCATCAGGGATCTTCTAGATCAGGACTTAATTGAGCCAAGCACAAGCTCCTGGGCCAGCGCCCCTGTCCTGGTGGCCAAGAAAACTGGCGGCTACCGACTCGCAGTGGATTATAGACCACTCCACGCAAGGACTGATGTCCCAGTGCACCCGATGCCCCGAACGGACTGGATCCTGGCGCAACTTGGCAAAGCAAGGTGGTTTACTAGCCTTGACCTGTCCCAAGGCTTCTTCCAAATTCCAGTGGCAACACGGGACATTCCGAAGACTGCGTTTCTGTGTCACCAGGGAACGTTCCAGTTCAAACGCATGCCATTTGGCGTAGCCGGAGGCCCAGCCACATTTCAGGCCTTAATGGACAAAGTGCTTGATGGAGTAAAACACAGGTACTGCATGGCGTTCCTAGACGATGTCTTGGTCTTTTCAGAGTCGTTTGAAGACCATGTAGTGCACTTACGGGATGTACTACACAGGATCGCAGAAGCGGGACTCACCATCAACCCCAGCAAAGTGCAGCTCTGCAAGCAGCCACTTAAATTCCTAGGCCATGTCATCTCTCCGGGTAAATGCCAGCCGGATCCAGAAAAGGTTTGAGCAGTTGAAGAGTACCCCACCCCAACATCAGTCAAACAGCTGCAGGCGTTCTTGGGACTGGTAGGATACTACCGCACATTCATTCCACAATTTTCCGACATCGCAAAACCTCTCGCGACGCTGCTCAAGAAGAATGCACCTTGGAGGTGGGAGCAGCCACAGCAGGAAGCTTTCAAATCCTTAAAGTCTTGGCTTACAGAGGAGGCAGTGGTGGCCTTGCCCGACCTCAACCGCCCCTTCATCATTGAGACAGATGCCAGTGGCATTGGCATCGCTGCAGTCCTGCTGCAGGAGAATGAGGGACACCTCAGGCCAGTGTCCTTTATAAGCCGAACGTTGACAGAAGCAGAGAGCAACTACACCGTACAGGAGTGGGAATGTCTGGCAGTTGTATGGGCACAGGACAAGTTTCGCCCATACATAGAGTTTGCACACTTTGAAGTACACTGCGACCATGCATCACTCTCATGGATGTTCCACACGGAGCAAACCTCCAGCAGAGTGAAGAGATGGGTGCTCCGTCTGCAAGGCTTTAAGTGCACAGTCAAGCACAGGCGGGGCAAAGCTAACATCCCTGCTGATGCCCTAAGTCGCTGCCCAGTGTCTGCTCCAGAGCCTCCTTCACCGTCTACTGCGGAGGACTGGTTTCCGATCGAAGTGAGTGACCCCGTTCCTTCAATTCGATTTGAGGAGGTTGCCGCCTCAGAGTCTGTGGACATATCACTGCTGAGCGATGGCAAAAGGCTGGCTGCAGAACAACGAAAGGATGAGCTTCTGAGAACAGTAATTGACTTCATGGAAAACAACTCTTTACCCAGTGATATTAGGGACTCGCGTAGAGTGCAAGACCTGGCAGCAGATAGTGAGATTGACGACACAGGTCTCCTGCTGTATGTGGGCCAGAGCAACAAGGTTCCGTGGCTACCGCTCCAACTGAGATCACTGGTGTTACAGGTGGAGCACGACCATCCGCTTAGTGCCCACGCAGGATACTTTAAGACGCTCCGACGGACGGAGAGGCAATTCCACTGGCTTGGAATGAGGGCAGATGTGTCTCGTTACGTTCGTGCCTGCAAGACATGCCAGGCCTTCAAGCCACGACGACAAAAACCGAAGGGCCTTATGGATAGTTCTTGGGCCACTGGCCCCATGGAGCACTTGAGTGTCGACCTCATCGGACCGCTTCCTGCCACAGCCAAACAGAACAAGTACATCCTGGTCATCCTGGACAAGTTCACGAAGTTCATTGAGCTCTGTCCTCTCCGGGCACCAACATCTAGAGCCATTGTGGAGCGGATGGTGGACATCTTCTGCCGACATGGGGTGCCCCAGAGCATCCCCAGCGATAACGGCCAACCGTTTGTAAGCGGATTGTGGAAGGGAGTGCTCAAGCACTGGGGCATTGCAGAACGCCATACGGTACCCTACAGACCAGCAGGCCAGACAGTCGAGCGGCGCAATGCCACGGTAAAGCAGGCTATTGCAGCCTACTGTGGCACCCACCGTGACTGGGACAGGCGCCTCCCAGAGGTGGCATTTGCTATGAGGACGTCGGAGAGTGTGGTGACCGGGTACACGCCAGCCTTCCTCTGCTACGGCCGAGAACTTCGAACCTTGTGGGAGTTGCGCCCACAGGGACACTCCGAGACCCAGCCGTCCACTTCTCACGTCTTCAGTGCAGAGCTGAGCCAACACCTTAAAGACGCCCTCGCCTTTGCGAGAGACCACCAACGCAAGGCGCAGGAGACACAGCGACGACACTACAACCGGAGGCGACAACAGTGCGAGTTTGCTGTGGGTGACTTCGTTCTGCGAGACTCGCACACACTGAGCAACGCCAGTCGGGGAATCACTGCCAAACTTGCCCCTCGACGCTCTGGACCCTTTGCCATTGCGGCCCGGACAGGGGAAAACGTGTACAGACTGAAGGACCCTACGACGGGCCGACGGTGTGGACTGGCCAATGTCGACCAGTTGGTGCGGTACTATGATTCATAGGCATTGCTATTCACATTATGCACAGATTAAGGAGGGGGGATCTGTTAGGAGAGGCACGTAGTTGCACGCCTCGCCACAAGATGGCGCCACGGCGGCATCGTGAGGACGCCTTCCGCGGGACTCGGAGAGAGGGCGCGCGCGATGCGCGGCTGTGGGGGGGACATCGGCTGACGAAGCGGGAGCGGAAGGACGAAGGACGGCGAGCGGTGTGCGCGGTGATGCCGCGAGTGCTCGGGAATAAAGGAGTTCCGGTTATGAGAGTCCCTTTGTTCTGAAACCGCAAGCGAGCTAGCGTGGAAGCTCGCTGGGCCCTGACAAACTGCTCAGAACAGCTGTGCTGAGCAGTGGAAGCACCAAGTGCAGCTTCGAGTTCTATGTTTCTTTAACCACCCCATTGTTGATTTGCTCATCAACGAGGCACCTTTCTCAACCACAATTATAGGGGTTTCCAGCACCGTTCCGGAATGAAGGGATACTAAGCTCCCCAAACCATGACCAACATTCGTCACTGGTACCAGCCACACGAGTGCGAGTGGCCAGTCTGAGCGCCAACTCCGCCACGACACAGATGGCCCACGAAACTAACAGTTTGCGCCACAGGGTGCAACAAAGCGCTTTTAAAAAAAGTGTCCGTCCAAATACGAAAGGCAAAAATCGGCGGCACCAACTACAAACACCATATACAAATAGAAAATAAAAGAAAATTAAACAGCCTTGGTCATGCTGGGAAACACCAGGGATTGCAGAACGCGTCCCGCAGAAACTACCACACGGTACGACGCCGTACCGCTCTTGCAGGCACATTTTGCCAGGAATGCAGCACTTCCGGGGTAGCTGTACCACGCAGCCCAGTGGCTATAGCAACCGACTGCCACCGCGTCGACGCGGGTTGGAGCCCCACTAGGGCATCTTATATTTTTCCCTATATAATCTTTATATCTCATTTTTTATAGCTTTGCGTCGTATAACACTTCCAGTATGTCACTCGTTCACGACACTCTTTCGTGACAATTTTCTTCTGGACAACGACCCGCAAAACACACTCAGTCTTAAAAAAGATGGAGCCCGCCACAACCGAGAGGGGTGGTTCTTTGCCGACCGTCATCAAAGCCCACTGAAAGAGGAAACGCGAGCGCGCGGAGGGAGCCCCAAAAAGACGCTCACCCGTGTTGATCTCCTCGGCGGTCTCCGTCTCCGCGATGGGGTGGTCGTGGAGCTGGAGGTACACCTGAAAGCACAGCCTGCCCTCAACACGTGGACGACAACACAGCTGTGCGTTGACGACGAAACGAGGCGACGCCTACATCCCACAAAATGTACGGCAAAAACAAACTATGCTTCGTCAAACGCTCGGTCTCCGCCCAAATGTAGCACCGCCGGTCTGGACCGGATGCCCAGGTTTCAGAGCTTGCTGTTATCTGGTTCGTGACTTATAGGCGATTTTCAGAAAATTTGTCTATGGGAAAGTGGCGGCCAACGAAGCCTAGGAACACGTGAAGGCAAGTGAAGTAAAAAACAAGTAAGAAACGAGCTCCATTTTCCTATTAAAAGTCAAAAAAAAAAAAAAAGAAATCACTCTTAGATTTTGAATTAGATGTCCGCAAGTTGTGAAACTTTGACATCCGGTCCAAACTGCAGGCGCTACATTAAGCTGGAGACCGAATGTTCAGCAACGCATATTTTATTATTGCAATTTATATATATATAAAAAAAATATCTTTTGAACATGTGCAGTATTTTTGACTGCTCTGACAAAGCGATTACGTATGCCTACATTTTTACTCAAACGCAATGATTAAAGGTTCGACGAGCGGGCGTAAATACTTGCGACCATAAATCTGGCTACCTACTGCACGAAACCCTATGCAGTGGCATGCGCTTTGATGAGGCGGGCATTTTCTCACTGGCGCAATGCCGCCGCAGATGCAGTCGGGAAGTCCCACCATAACAGCCACTCCTGCAACAAGGCCATGCTCGATTGCAATTTCGGGCTTTCGAGAATGCCGAAGGAGCATGGATTCAAGTTTGCACCCTAAAGGACGACCTCAAGGTCCACTCGATGCACCCTTTGACCCGTGTTCCTTCGGTCCAGTGTCCCTGTTGCTGCCTCCATAGTCACTGACAAGAAGAGAGTGGCGGAAAGGAGCTTCGGTTGACCCGCCTCCAGAGCGCTAAAACGACACGCCCTGCTATTCTTACTCTGTCAGTGACTACAGTGTGCAGCCCTGCAACACCCCTGTAACAAAACACACACACAAAAAAATGATCAGCAATATTTACGTTGTTAGACGCAATTTGGGTGGGGACATCCCAGCTCCAGGCCCCGCCCGGTACTTGACTAGCTAAGCATTTTTTCTCTGCTCTCATTGGTTGGAGATTGACGTGTGGAACATTCATGGCACAATCGTTTCTCCGTGCAGTACAGTATTTGTATCAGAAATATTTTAACGCAAAAGCATTTCTGTCCCATGGAAAAAAAATTTGGGGGTTTTACGTGCCAAACCTACGACGGGCATCTGGCACGCCCCAGCGGAGGACTGAGGATTAATTTGGACCACCTGGGGATCTTTTGACGTGCAACCGAAAGCTCGGTTACACGGCGCCTTCTCCGCAATAGCCTCCGTCATATTGCGGGCACCTCGGTCGGGATTCGAACCCGCCACCTGGGGATCCGTAGGCCGGCGCTCTCGCCTCGGAGCCACCGAGGCGGCCTTTCTGTCCCATGGAGCGGCGCGCGGTTCGTGGCACGCTGCCTGTAGGAATGCTTTCGCATTCCTATATGTAAGCAGTCATAAGTGCCTTCGTTTAAATTTTATGTTTGAGAGACAAATGATCTAATTAAGGCTAGGAGTCGATTAAAGTTTTAACGCGATTGATCACTACCCTTTAATCGATTAACTGGTTGCAATAAGTTTTAGGAATATTGTAAAAATAAAAAAGTGTCAAAACTCCACATTTTTCTTTTGACAATTTTAATGAAATATTTTATATTCTTATTTTAATTTTACAATCACTCTGGCTGACTGTCATATGAAATGCTAAAGCGATGTACCATGGAAAACTCCCTAAAATGAAAATATGAGTGCCAACTAATGAAGCAGACATTTTTCTTTACCTGCAAACTTTTGCAACACTCGCCACAACCAATTAGTCGGTTTTACACGAATGTACCACGATTAAACCATTAATCGGATGGCTATTCAATTGACTGCCCAGACCTAATCTAGATAGAATCATTGTGTTCAAAAATATCCTGGGATTACGTCTTCCGCTTCGGTTTTAAACGATAACAAACATGGCTGCCGGCGTTTGCAGTGTGCTTTACTTTATGAGTACCAGTCATTCTCCATTCACCGAGGTGTTTAGAGGAAAGTCTCCTCGATTGAACTAGTTTGCAGCAAACGTCTGTTACAAGTATGTACCTTCGGAAACACTGCGAGTGTGCTTTTTATCGTAGCGGGACTGGCCCAGGCCTAGCGTCCCACGTCAACTATGTTGCTTGATCTTGCTTGATTTGTTCCTTTGTGCATGTCGATACTGAATAAAGATGTTGGCTCCTGTAAAAGCGGCCCCACTGCACTGCAAATTGTGCAACCGTCATGATTGCCACCATGGTTTCAATACCCGAGAAGATGCCTCTACAGGTAAGAATTCGTGAGCCATTTGGCTGGAGGCAATCAGGCGTTCGGCTTGCATCAAGTTTGTCCAGTTATGTTCCTGTCATTTCGCTTCAAAAGGCAAATAGCTATAAAGTTTTCAAGTGCACCTGGCCTTCCAAAGCGAATATTTCTGGGTCGGGTTTTCATTGTGTGTCATGACGCTCACTCACCTTGCTCGCAGATGCAACGCAGAAAGAATAACAAAAACAAAAAATTAAAAACGTTTACAGTTCTCTGCAATGCTTAATTAGAGCTCAGCTCTTGAGGAGGGGGGGGGGGGGGGAGGGGGGGGGAGGGTCACGTATGATGTCACGAGGGTAAAATTTCCCCGCTAAATTCAGCGGGAAAATTTTCAAGCTAAGTTTAGCGGAAAAATTTGCCACCAAATTTTGCGGGAATATTTTACCCTCGTGACGTCACACGTGACGTCATGTCTGACGTGACACGTGATGCCACGAGGATAACATTTCCCCCCTAAATTTAGCGAAAAAGTTTTCCGCTAAATTTAGCGGGAACATTTCCCGCCATATTTAGTGAAGAAATTTTGCCCTCATGACATCACACGTGACATCATTATGGGAAACGTTCCATAATGCAACGCACAATTACGCCGACGGCGACGCCGCTCGAGCCGGAAACGGGCACCTAAAAGCTGCGCTCTAAAAATCTGAAAGAACTGTGCACTTTTTGTTGATTTTTTCTAACCCTCTTGGCCACCTCTTACAGCACATCGATACACGCTTGTGTCGGACTGTGGCTCGTGCATAGTGGAATGCTAGAACGCTACTTTCATGGTCACATCTTGCGAGCGTTGCAGAAATTTTTAGATGATGACGGAGCAGATGGACGAAGGAGAAAAAGAATGCAGACATGCAGCATCTTACAGGCATTGGAGACAGCGATAGACGGTGGTGGAATAGCAGACGGTGCCGAAGGCTGCTGTGCGTCTGCTCGCACGGCTAGCAGGTAATGTCAGACGCCAGACTAGACGCGCCGTATGTTGCGAAAAGGAGACACTACGCCTGCGAACATATTTGGCCGAGCAGCCAGACCACTCCAGTAGTAATGGGCTGGTCCTCTGATATGTGGGCGGGGCTTACAGCGGGCCATGATTTCCACCTAAATTGCATCTAGAAACGTAAAAATTCAGCTCTGCTGGGGAAGAGGGCTCACCTGAATAGCGACCCTGGCCGCCTTGAAGTAGAAGGGGTGCGCCCTGAGCACGTCCTCCAGCCGCAGCAAGCTCACATAGGCACGCAGTGTCATCTTGCGCATGCAGTACGTGTGGAAGTCAAACTGGTCCTCCATGATCTCGGAAAAGTGCTGCATCATCGCAGAAAAAGGGAGAGACAGGGAGATTACTTACAAACCGCCCAGGCACCACGAAGAATGCAATGGTAGAGGCTTCTACGTGAAGATAGCCTGATCTGACTTTTGTGAAAAGGCATGCAACAGCAGATGTTTTTGCATGGCGCTAGCCTCATCTGACTACAATAATCAGCTTAGTGCAGGGGAACTAAACCTGTTTAATCTCGAGGAACCCTTATAAGCCGTGGCATCAGGCCAATACAGCAGCACTTAAGCTTACGAACCTCATGAACAATAATATACAGATCGAGGAGCTTTAGATCAAGTTGTGCATCGAGGGTAGCTGAGGCCTGCTAAAATACCGGTAAAACGTGAAAAACGCTTAGCTTATGGGGGGAAGGCCAAGAAAATTTACATACTTCGTCAAAGAAAAAACTATACAAGAAAAGGTTGAATTCCCTCCTTTCAAACGCTTAGTAGTTCCACGACTCAACAAGAAGCTGAATTTGGATAGGCGTGATAAAAAAAAGGTGGGACATGACAAGAAGACGCAAGCACGAACCCGAACCAGTTTCCCCTTCAAACTTTTTCACCCCGCGTGCACCGTCCCACACTGAGAATCCTGACTCACACACTCACTATCGCTTACAACCAAGTGCCTCAAAGGGATACTCCAGCAATATTTTTATGGTCTCCGATTTGCCTCAAAATTGGTTCAACACACCGATAGACACGGCTGTAAGTCCCTCAAGTATCTTGCGGAAAAAAAAAAGGTTTTCGTGAAATTATTGAATTTTTTAATTTCATTCTCGTTGTGTTTAAAGAAAAAAAAAAAAAAAACTACTGGAAACACTGCAGTATGACGACAGAAATGGTACGAAGTGGTCAGGAAACCTTGTTCCTAACTGATTACAAGACGTTTGATGGTGGGAAAAGAATTCTTGAAGCCCGTTCAATAAGCACGAAAAAACGCTAGACATACTCCGTTTACGACTACATGTGCAACCTGAAAGTTTGTACCGTTTGCGACGTCGCACCAACAAAGAGCGCACGCAAACTCGAACGTTGGTTTCGGCATTGTACAGTTTTCTCAATGACCATTTTGAACTTCAGGACAATAAATTGCATGCCGCGAAGAGAAAAGTCAGGGGTATTCAGAAAATGTAATATGTTTGGGTAGCTCAAAAAACAACCGGAGTACCTCTTTAAAACCTCCTGGGACTTCTCTCAGTGAGAGAATGCAGTGGCCCCATCTATAAAGCAGCAGCACAACACTGCATTTCCGTACATTTCCCACATTTTTCTGCGCATCATTTTCTTTACTGTTGGCTCAAACCCTCGACACTTCTATAAACGACCGTTTCTCACGCACAGTACGTACACTTGATCTCGCAACTACCACAAAAACCCTCGTTCTTACAAAACGCAGTTCCGGGGCTACCTCGGGGACGGCACTGACATCTTCTCTCGCCGTAAAAAATTGCGACGAATCGACAGTAAGCAAACGGGCCTCAAAGTGCGCCGACGCCAGACTCCCCCCGCACCCTTGACTCAAAGGCCTGCCGCCGTCGCCACACTTTCGCGCTCCGTCGGAGAAGTGGTTCCAAGGTCGGAAGAGGCGACGCGGGGTGTGTGGGGGGTAAACGGGCGCCATGACTCACCCTGTCCACCTCGTGGCACTTCTTTAGCGCCTCGCCCCACTTGCCCAGCCTCTGGTAGGCAAGGGCACACTCCGTCTGGAACCACATGCACTGCATCTCGTTCAGGTTCTCAACCGCTGACACACCTTCCTGCACAAGGGAAGGCAAAGTGGTCGCCCACCCGTCAGCCAACACCCAAGGAAGACTGTCCGCGGAACGAAAGAAGCATAGTGGCCGGCATGACAAGAAACAAACACGTCTATAAGACATCAGGTCGTGAAAAGACTTCGCCATTCGCTTCCCACCTCCAAGTTAACTCTGGGGAGTGAGTGAGCAGGAGTGTCGAAACGACGCTCAGAAACGTTTCAAGCAAGGACTTCGCAAGGTCGACAAACACACTGGCACAAACTGTAATGCAATCACCTCTTGTACGGCTTGATTGAGAATCTTCCCGTCCCGCTTAGCAATGACAACAATGCACATCAACCACTGGTCCTGATTTCCCGCCGCAAAGGTGGCATCGCTTGCCCCAGCGGCTGTCGACCACTGGCAATTTGGGGATCCCTACAGGATCAGTGGAAGTGACGCAGCACCCCCCCCCCCACCGGGGAGAGGGAGGATAATACACGGTTACAATGACAAGAGGGTGAATAAATCAAAACTAAATGCATGCAAGCCAACTTTGAAGCTCTGAAATTCATTCGGTGCACACGTAGCACAGTCAGCGTCAATTAAAAAACAAAATATTTTATCGCTCGGTGGTCGGTCTTTTTGGGGACCCAAAGAAGGCCTCCCCAAGATGCCTGCAGCCCCCACTTGAGAACCACTGGCTGGCTAACGCGAAGGAATGTGCGACAGCTGGAAAAGACGTCGGCAGTCTGGCGTTTGCCAAGCCGGCGCCTCATAGAGCTTGTCGCAGTCGTCCGTGTTGCTACCGTTACTGCACCGAGTCAGAGAAGGCCGAAGCGGTGTGAAAAAGGTAGCGTGGGACGCCGCAAAATGGACCGCCCTTCTTTAAAGTGACGACGACAGGAGACTACAAAAATGAACGTAATTAACATTTTAAAAAATTGACAAACAACAAATGTTTTTTTAAGAAGCAGAATCAACCGAGGGCATCCTACCTGCAACTGGGAAATTCGAACAGTGCCCGTGGCATATTTTTAGAAGTAGAGAGTACTGAGAGATTTCGTCTAAAAATGTTATCCTCGACGCCCAGGTGGCTCATACACGACCCAACTTTCCAGGTAAATTAAGAAGAATAGTAGTGCCTTGCAAAGGTAAGAGTTCTTGCAATTAAAAGTTAGTGGTGACAACAGAAACTTTTGCAGATGCTCCGAGCGAGGCGCTTCGGTCGAACTCGCTGCAAGCTTGCCTACCTTCTGCATTCCGTTCCTGTCCTCGTCTTTTTTAGTACGCTGTTTTTTCCTTACTTTCAACCAGCACCAACTCGCTCAGCTTACCACCTTAATACAACTACATGAGGTCAAAATGTCACGAGCACAACTGTGTCCCTAAACTTTTGAAAGCAGTTCAGTATCTCTACTAGCGCATCTACAAACCAAACTCGTTGCGGAACGTGTAGCAACCGACAAAAACTCGTCAAAGTCAGCGACAATGCTCAAGTTTTCACCACGCAATACTGCCAAAAACGTTTTCACATGCAAAAAGAAAAAAAAAAAAAAAATTCCAACAGCCCCCTCTTTCTTTTTTTTTATGAAAATCCCTACACGCGAATTGTCAGCGACGTCCAGGGAGGGACGTTGAAAGCACGGTGTGAGCAACTGACCCTGGTGAACTTTGAGCACATGTCCTCGGCCTCCTTGATGAGGTTAGCCCGCAGCATGTACTTGGCACACTTGGAGTTGATGTAGCGGTCCGCCGTGTCCAAAGCCTGAGCTTCGTCCAGGTGCCTCAACGCCTCCTGGATGTCACCCGCATGCTGCAAACAAAACAACCGACGACAACAATCGGTGAAGACAGCGAGCCAAATTTCTTGCGGGCGGGACCCCCCTTGCATATTTCCTTTTTCCAGCCGCTGCAAAGGTTGAACTTCTACAGACACTTTGCCTTCTTACCCCACCCTCAAAATGTAGAGGGCCAATGTAGGCCGGAAAGGGGGAAGCACATATTTCAAAGAAAAGCAAAAAAAAGACATTAACTGTGTTTTACATTGCAAAGCAGTCAAGTCTCTCACGAAGAGATGTCATGGAGAACAAACTTCGTGCTATAATTTTTTCGCTCTCCTTTTGATGTGCAACATCTTTAGCTTTCATTTCTTCATACGACATCTTTCAACACATACCCGATGTTAAATGATGATAAAAAAATTCATAGCACCACCAAAGTATTCAACTTTTTCAAAAGATCAAGCCCGTCATTGTTGCCCCGCCGTAAGATTCAACGTGTCTCGAACAAAATATTTCTTCGTACAGTAATCCGTCGTTATAACGAAGTCAACGGGACGACAAAGAATTCAATAAAAGCGATAGAACCAAAAAACAGTGCCAGCATCCTTGAGAGTGGACAGGGATACTGCGGAACACTCCGACTGTATATTTAACCAAACGACCCTTGGTTAGGAACATATTGTGGCAGCTTTACCCAGTAAAAAAAGGAACTAGGTGGAGTTGGCCGATAATTTCATACGGGCATCAGTTCTCCCCGAACTGCTCCAGGCATCACAAGAACGCTGTCACCGCCGCTGCACTCCACTTGGTTTGCAAGCAGCCGTAAGACGTTTCGAGTCTCCCAGTCTTCCGCGTTTCCCAAGGTGCCCCTCCAACATCTCTTTGCGTTTACCCTGGCCGCACGCAAGGTCTTCGACCGCAGCATCCGTGGCAGGAGCAACCAACGACGGGAACATCCACGTCGACAAGCGCGAACGAATCAAAGTTTTCCTCGGTGGCTTTGCCAACATGTTTTCACACGCTCCAGTAGAGATCGTTGCAGCTGCGGAAATCGTGCGCCGGCTCTGCAAGCATGCTAACGAGAAAATCCAACGTGCACGGAGCAGCGAAGCGATCTCGCTATAATGAGGGATTGCTGTACTACAGTTTTCGCTTTCCTGAGGATATTTATAGCAGAATTATTATAGAATACTCATATTTCAGTGGTATTCAAGACCAAACAATTCACATTCAAAAATAAAGCAGAACAGTGGCAGATATGTCTGCACATTATCAGAGAACTTCGTTTTCGGCAGAAATGAGTGGACGGCATTGAAGACCATTATTTATGGCGTGCATGTAGCCCTCGAGTAACGAGAATACTTGTGGGCCGCGCCCCGGAGAGTTGCGGGCCACGTGCTTGAGACCCTTGTTCTAAGGCACAGGGGCTTTCTGCACAATTTGTTGCACGTGAGTGTTACATTGCTGGCCTTTTTACGTGCGTGTGCCATATCTACCCATCTCCCAGACAATACTGTATTCAGGAAATGAGTACCAGCTTGCATTGCTCGATATAGCATGCAACATTGCTCAAATTCAGAAAATTCCAAGGCACTGAAGATGGTGTGAAGAGGTTACGAGGAACAAAAAAAAAACCGTTTCGGACCACTGCACTACGTTGTAATCCCCAAGATAGCCCCAGGTGCCCAAAGACTGCAGCTCACCTTGAAGATCCTAGCCTTGGCCACAAACAACTCTATGAGCGTGGGCGTGTGCTCGATGGCCGCATTGATCAGGTCCAGGGCCTTGGCGGTGCAGCCAAGGTAGTCGAAGTGTTGGGCCGCATAGTAGTAGGTCCACAGCAGGGCAGTGGCAGGTTCCTTCTCTTCACAGTCCTTTTCTGTGAAACACATCTAGACTGAACAGAGCAGAGAGCCGTCCCAAACAAAACAAAAAAACTACGGGATGCCCCCCGGAATTCTGTCTCAGTATGGGCATCATAGACCCAAACGTGAAATCGATGGACTATTTGAGCCAAGCCCGCACCAAACTGGGCTCCTTGAATCAAGGTTGAGAAACGATGCACAACCCTCTACAATAAGCACAGGGTGCCGCTTTGTGCACCTCAACTGTGTTAACGTTCGAGTTGAGTGAGCATAACGGCCGTTGACACGACTCGTCTTTGGAGCGCTCACCTCGTTCGGAAAAAACTTCATACTTCTTCAGCGAGCTCACGTAGCCAGTCAGCAACTGTTCAATGATTTTCACCTGAAATGAAAGAATCAGAACACTCCCAATGAACCAACAACCTTCCCAGCGATAAATAATTAAGAGTTTTCAAATAGATGCGACACACTCGCCAGCAAACACAATGTGGACAAAGAGGAAAGACTAAAATCATATTCGAAATGCCCACTCCTAGAGAGTCACTTTCTGTCCACGACAAGTCGGGGTTGGTATTTTAACCATTTCGTCGTTTACCCTGAGACTGGGGTTTTTTTTGAAGAGCAGAAGTAACAGAAAAAACAGACATGTCTCAAACTCAGCTACCTTAGCTGAGTTTGAGACCTGTCTGTTTTTTCTGTTACTTCTGCTCTTAAAAAAAAACCCAGTCTCAGGGTAAACGACGAAATGGTTGACTTCCACCAGCTAGCCTGTACTTTGACTCTTTTCTTGGTATTTTAGTCTATAATTAGAATTACAGACCGAGAAATACTACAAAGCAAACATCTATGTGAGCACCCTCAGAAATTATTATATGCCAGCAATTAAAGGAATTTAAGAAATACAACTGCATTAGCTTCGTCAACTTGTGGTAAGGCCAAGCAACCATTCATTCTGGTGCTCTAAAGCACCGACCCTTGATTTGGCAATACACGGGCCGCATACCGCCCCTGATTCTCGGTACTGGCAGAGCCGAAGCTGGGTGTCAATAATGTATTTGCATTCGATCGGTGAACTGAACTGGGCGACGGTGTCTTCGTGTCACAGCAGAATGAACGGATTTATGTCACATTGAGAATCACATTCATGTTGAAAAGCTTTCCAGAGAAGAGGAAGCAAAAAAACAATTTTAACTTTGAAATTGCACAGCAATGTACCTGGCAAAAGGGCATCACATGTTAGCACGCTTGTGTGACACTACGGATATTACACTGCTGCTAAACAAGCTTTTAAATCTTTAAAAATGAGAAAAGAAAGGGTAAAAAACAATCACTATGACAAGAAAAAAAATAAATCATACAGCTGGGACATTTTACGTTGGCTCCCGTCAAACGCCACATCAGCAGTCCCGAAAAGAGGCTACTCCAGTCTCTTCTAATCATATTTGGTGGTCGAGTCTAAACCATAGAAAACGGCCCCTGACCCCAGAGAAGAGAGTGAGCATGACTCAAACCGGACAGTTCTCGGTTGGCAGTTTTCGAGCGGAAGGAAAACAAACTTCGAGCCGCGAATTGTTTTCTGGGTTGTTGGGCTCTCATATGTAATGTACAAATAAAAACCTTGGCAAGCATAAATACCCTGATGTTGTCCCTTTAACCGTTTTATATGAACCCAGCTCGTCAATCTGGAGCACTCGCCACACTGTTCGGTACGAGTATACCTCGTCTGCTTTCCCCGCTTTACGCACTTAACCGTTTCGGGCGAACCAGGTTCGCTCATGACCTAGTTTGCAGATGTGTGAACAGATGGTATGAAATTTATTTTTTAATGTTGCCTTCATTTTGTTTGTGGTTAGAAATTTGATTGTAAAGGCGACAAGTGTAATTTTGTAGACAATTAGGCAGTTGGGGATCAGAAATTTCCAAAAACTGAAAGCAGCTAAGTGGTTAACGAACCAGCAGTGTATCGTTACAAAGTTGCTGCATATCTGGATCACGACGGTGGTCAGTCTAAGTGTGTGACAGTGCTAGCCACTGTTCTCATTACGAGTTTAGATTGACGGATAATGAGGCACTCTATAAAAGGTTAAAGGCCACATCCCACTAACATGCTCACAACAGACACATCTTACTGCATTTCCTGAAGCATTAACCCAAAAATCGTTGAGGAGTTTCTTGCCCCTACCTTTTCTGTGCTGTTGTAGAGCGGCCTAAGGTCCACAAAGAGGGGAGGCACTCCCTTGTGTAATGCTCGCCTCATGTACTTGTCAGCCAGCGAGCGGAAATCCTCTCCTGGAAACCGGCACCGATAAACATTATCAGAAAAACACATCCAACACATTTTCATTTCATAGACATTTGTTACACCGTTGAAGCACCAACAAGGCTTTATATATGAGAAGGTAGATGAAATATAAGAAATTCGTAACAATAAAAATTAAAAAAATTTGTTTAGAAAAGTAGCAGGCGCAGTTTTGCAGCCCGACGATTCCTGAATGGTGACCATAATATCAGGAAGAGTTCTATTGAATTTTATTGACTCAAATAGTTGAAGAGGTGAACAAAATACTAAAGGCACCAGCAAAAGCAAAGTAGGAGCCTCTTACACTCTTCTATTGCCATAAAACCTTGCCTTTTACAGGTCTTACACAATGGAAGTTGTGTAAGACCTTACACTCTATGAAAGTTGTCTGTAATGGCAGCAAGTCAGTGTGGTAGTTGTTACCATACTCTTTGTAAACAGTCCCATTACCAATGCAACCTTGCTGTACTCAAGGACAACTTCTGTCCTTTTTAAAGAAGCGAAGACCGCATGAGCACAGCTACGATCAACGCTCAATACCCCGGAGCGCTAGTGCACCATAGCTTTGGCTTCATTGCCAAGTAAAGTTGTCCCCAAGTATAGACACCTGTCTGCAAGCTGAGTAACCAGAAAAGATGGGTTCTGTTCTACCAGACCTTGGAACAACGGGACAGAACTTTATGACGGGCACGAAGGAAACCGTTGTAGACAAGTGAATAAACACATACCTGTGGCAAAGTTGAGTGGCAACCGGCGTGGCATCTGGGCCCTGGGGAACGTCTGCTGGCACTCTTCAAACAACTTCAGCTGATCTTCCATGCCCTCTGCAACACATGCAACAGTTGGTAAACCAATGAATGCAAATGACAAAGTACAGTGATTGACTTGTAACATGTTTCAAAAGAAAGCCGCCAACGAGGCAAGGCATGGCGAATTCGCAGCTTCACCTGTAGTTCCGCCCACGTATCTAACGCAACTGAATAACTGATAAGCAACACCTACAACAGACACCTTCCCATGACAGTGACAACTTCGAGTGCCGATGTAGCTAGGGTGGGCGACGTGAAAGAAAGCAAACCGTTTACAGAGACCAACAATAAAATAAATTGCAGGGGAAAGAATAGAACTACTGGTAGGAACTGGTAGAAATAGAAGTGCCTTCCAGAGGCCACAGTTCAAAGCAATTCAGCATCTTCCCCTAATCTCGCTACATGAGGATTCAACCTGGCAGTCATCACAAGAGAACGGTCTACACTCTCAGCTGATGACCCTGAAATGGCACACTTGGCACGACGCCGGAGACGGCCAAGTCAGATTTAGGCGGTGGTCGAACCGGATCCGCCCATCGCATTACAAGTCCGACGCCGGCCCAACACTGGCCCGACGTGAAAACCAAACGCTTCCCCTCTCTTCCCGGAAATTGAAACGCGGACAAGGGTTTGACTCACGCAGTCGGAGGGCCTTGAGCAGTCCATAGTAGTAGTCGTGGTTCTCGGGGTTGCGGTGGAGCAGGTCCCGGTATATGCTCTCAGCACCCCCAAACTGCCCCACCTGCATCAGCAGGTTTGCTGGTACCCGCCACAGAAAGCACACAGACAGTCATTACGAAGAGCCACGACCCCACCGTCAGACGTGGCACACGCACGATGAAACCGAAACAATCCGTAAAGCACTAAACGGGCTCAAGGACGATCCCGTGACCTAACTCTTCCAAGCTATTTTTCCACAGACCCTTTTCCCGAAAAGCGTTGAAATGAGGTGCTCTAGCGCTTTACGTCCCTGTGGACCTCTGGTCAAATGAGAGAACAAACAGTTCCCCACAGTAACACTGCTTCTTGCGATGTTCACGAAATAATTTGTGATTGGTTCACTGGGTGGGTAGATAAAGGACCGGTTTGCAAGAGATTTGTTGCAGATTTTTTGATACTGCTATGGGTCGACCGATCCCCTCTGAACAGCGTGGAATAAGGCCCTCGCAAAATCCCCATCTTCGTGATTTCTGTACAGCAGGGGTGGCCAGGCTGACCGGGCCTAAGAGCTGCAAACCAAACCACGTAACTTTCAAGAGCCGCGGGGGAGGGAGGGGGGGGGGGACAAACTTTTGTGCAGAGCAATAAACGAAACTCTAACAACTTTCAATCAATCCGAGTCAAGAGCAGTCCAACTGTATGTAAGGTAGCAGTAGCACAAGACTACCAAACGGCAGCCCGTCTTTTGATTTATAACGCACTCCATTTCTCTTTTTGGGGAAGTGATCGTGTGACTTGAAGGGAGGCGGGGAAGTGGGGAGGGAGGGGGGTTAGGGAGGGAGCTGCGACCTGCACTTTAACACACAAAGAGCTGCAGCCTGACCACCCCTGCTGTAGAGCTTCATCTTCCCAGGGGCTTTGACTTCAACAGGCTCGGAAAGCATGCCAAAACGGAACGACCGGAAGTCTCTTGGGAGAAAAGAAACCTCACGTTTGTAGACAGGAAAAGGGTCTATACCCCGTTTCGTCCTACAACAAACGGCAGCGGACGCTACGAGCAGTGGCGTAGCCGGGGGGGAGGAGGAGGGAGGCTTATGGGGGCTTCAACTCCCCTTGAAACCCAGTTGACCCTATAACAGACACATGCGTTTTAACCCATCCTTTCCCCGGACTCAAGTGAAGGGCATCTCAGCTAGCTCCCAGCCCCCCTCCCACCGAAATAAATTCCTGGCTAGGAGCCATTCCAGACAATCCAAGGCTGTGAACGCATCACGTAAGCCCCTTGCATTTCTGCTTCCCTCCCAAAAGGTCACGTGACGTTCTTGCGACATTGGATCGGCTCCCATAGCTCGTAGTGTTGTCTGCATTCCATGGTAACTTGAAATGAAGGGGTCCTTCCTACACCCAAACTGACTTAGCCTCGTTTGAGACGGTGTGGTTAACAATTGCACTGTTTCAATGCCTCTTTTGAATGCTGACCACAATTACTACTCCAACAAATTTATCCGGAACGACCCCATAATCAGGGACCAGAATGACAGGAAAAGGCCTGGACACTTCACACCAGTCATGGCAGAGCGATGGGTCAGTGGTCTTGGAGAAGCCGCTGCGGTCTCCAGCCTATAACCCCGGAAGATTGACAAAAGAGGGGACTTGTCGTCAACGTCTGTTTCTGGGGTCTCTAGTTGGGAAATCTGGACAATGTGGCTAGACTTCCGGATCACAAACAGAAGAAAATCTAAGCATGTGGCTGCACTAAAGCTGTAGAAGCCACAGTGCCGCATTTTTTGTAGATATATATCTCACAATTATATGGGCTTCCTCCGTGCTTCTATGAATTTGTGCAGGATGCGAGGATGACAAAACAGAGCCTCTATACATGCCAAATTTCAGAAAATTGGGGCTTTAACCAAAGTTAACTGTTATAAGTGCTGAATTTTCAAAGTAAAAAATTTACGGGGAATCGTTAGGCAATTGTGTTCGATACGTAAAACATTCTAGCATGACAAACGTTTAGCGATACTCGGAGTATCCAGACTCCAATAGATAGTTTAACGCGTACCATGTATACACTTGATAGTTGTTCCTAGAATGAAGCCATACTATTGCTAATCGGGCTGATAAACCTAGCGATCTTCCAGAGTCTTTTGAACTCTCGAGCTCCTCTCCCTCAGTGTACACGGGTGGTTGAGCACCTCCTAGCCTACCCCTCTGGTCACATGATCTCCCTGTTAACCATTCAGCGTCGAGCACCTCATTCCTCCTCTCCCACCTGTCAACCAATCAGTATCGAGCCTTGCGGCCACACTTTTATCCAGGCGTCACTTCTGGGCTTCACGAAATGCCGAACATCCAGCCAAAGGGACGTTTCACGTTGAGACACTCAAGAAGACTCTTCAAATTTCACAACAACTCGGAACTCTATCAAGTGGATGAGTAACTAAACAAACAGCCTCAGAGCGGCTAGTTAAGCGAGTCAGTTAGCAGGCTGCCGTTTCAGGCCCCTCTGAAATGGCACCAGAAGAACAAAGCACGGCGTGGGTGCCACCCATTCCTCTCCGAGAATCTCACGCACCTCTCGTCTCGAGGATGGAGAGCTTGTCGCAGATCTGCTCCTCGTGGCGTGTCAGGTGGCAGAGGGCCTCCTCCAGTTCGCCTGCTTCCCGCATCACCATGTTCTGGTAGAGCAGGAGCTCGCTGTGCTCGTAGTCGTAGCCGCGCTTCTGAAAAGCATATGCAAAAAGAAGTATGTGAGATCACTCTTCTCACTGATAAAGCCAACGACTGCCAACGAAGTTCACCGGCATTAATTTGTTTCATCTATAGAACGAAGAACAGAAAACCATGTTTTCCTAAGTGTCCTAGTTTTTATTTAAAAAAAAAAAAAATTAAACAAATCGAAGGTCAATGTTCCCCTCGACTCTCCACCATCTCTGGGGGACCACCTGGTTTCCTGTTGGGTTACGACTTCAGAGACCCCAGCCGCTGCCTCCGAGATCATAGACTTTTCAAGGATTAGCATCCCTGAAGGTCGCGGCGGGCAACTGACACAAAAGACGGTTTGCTACGGGGCTGCTTGGGCGCGTAGCAGCGGAGCGGGACAGGGTTCATTGACTTTCGCATGACGTGCCACCGTAGTTCTTGCAACCGCCACACGCAACTGCAGATTGGCAAATAATCATTTTTTCCTTTGCGATTACGCAGCGGATTAGCAGTTTTTCGGGAGAAGATGGCATGTTTTTTCGCACTTGTGCCAAAGTGAACAATATAAAAAATATGAACTGCCACTTCTTTCATCATTAAAATCGTTGCACTACCCTTAACACGCTAGTAGTGAAGCCATTAAAAAAAATCTACGCTTTGGCCATCTTGTTGCTTCAAATCATTGTTGCCAGTCATTTGAAGCTTTATCTTGATTGCAGGAAAAGCTTCTTTCACAATCCCCCACAAATGCTAAAACAATCTGCGACGGGGCAAAATCACGTCCACTCAGGAAGTTGTATCTTTGAATTTTAACTATGGACACTCCAGCGTAGCTTTTTTAGTGGCTTTAGACAGCAGCTACTGCAGGGGAGTCAAGGTGGCAACGCACAGAAATTTGGCTAGCATCAGTATCGCTGCGCAATAGAAATCGGTTGGTATAGGTTGGTTCCTGGAACTTTGAAATAATGTGCGAATTACGTGATGAGGATTTTGTTGCTAGCAATTTACGAACGTCAGAGCCCAAGTAAAATGTACAAGACGAATATTTTGCTCCCTTCGTAACAGTACCCTACACAACACTGTGCATGCTTGCAACATATGAAACTGGGTATAAAAGTAACAGTTTCCTACATTGCATGATGTGCAAATACAAGAAAGCACTAAGCGCAAATTTTCGCGCAGCATAACTACAAACACCACAAAAACACTTTTCAATACAAGAACTGAATGCCCATGTAGCAGTATTATCAGCCTTTAAATGTCTTCCAAAAATGAAAGCACCCATAAGATACGGGCCAGATACATACTGTCTATTACGGGCTGCGAATGGATTCTTTCTAACACTTGGCACCCTAAAAGGAAGTCTAACATTTGATAAAACAGACACATAAAGGCAGCGTAGCATCAATATATTCCTACTGGTCTATGTTAGCAATTGGGTAAAGACCACTTCTTGCACACAAATGCACTAACATTGCTCTCGTGGCCGACCAACGAAAGCGCGGTCCATAAGCATTAAAAGCGCCGACATTCACTTACCGTCTGCGTCTTCCTAAACTCCTCGAGAATCTTGAGGGCCATGTCGTAATCCTTGAGCAGGTGGTAAGACATCGAGAAGCCGATCCAAGAGGCCCTCTGTGTTGGTCGCAGCATGAACAATTGGTACCTAGTGTCCTGCGAGGGAAGCAAAACACACAAAAAAGGTAGCTGAATCAGCAAATGTATAAAGACTGAAATATACCTAGTCTAACAAAATGCGGGCAAGCATGCGCCATGCTAGTGCAGTACTCATAGATCTTCAATGGTCGCAGATATCGGACTGATTCTCACACACCAATGAGTGCCACGTGCAGTGCACTACGCAACGTTCGCTGCACTATACCTTGGGAGTATTAACAAGCCTTAACAATATGTCCATTGACAGTGGAAGGTAATGTGACTTATAAGCGTAGCCACCGAGCACTTCGTCAAAAAATGTCTTCAATGAGGCAGGAGGATACGTCAAACATCACTAAACTGATGTCAATACAAAAGTTCCTACAACCCCCTACATTTGCTAGAGCATAAAACTACATCGAGACAAAACTACCTACACCAGTTCCACCAAAAGAGCAAAACAAGCTATATGAAAGCTTCACTACAAGTCTCTAGGACACGTGCCAAAATCTGCATACCCTGTATCCTTCCAAGTCACGCATCTGTATTTGGAGTAGCGATAAATCCCGCAGAATCTGAATGTTGTCCTGGAAAAAGAGTACCGGTAGAAATTTTGAGTACAGAAGGACCAGTCACAGACCACCAATAAACAACTCCTGTATCAAAAAACGGAAGATTTAAAAAAAAAGAAATCTCCCACAAAGATGGTGCTGCTGTGTAGAAGCCAGAAGCTTCGATGAAAAACAAAGATAGGAAACAGTTTGCCATGTTGTGCCTCGGGAGGCCATTATTTTATAGAACTGAGTCGTATCACGGAACCGTTACACATGATGCAAAATAAAAAAGCTTCCACTGGAATGAAAAAAAAAAAAAAAAATGCTCCGTTTTAAGGGGGAAAAAAAAAAGCATAGCTTGGTTACATTTAGTTTTATCCTGGTGCAAAATGGTGAGTAGCCGTTGTCAATTTGTCATCACAGTTCACTTCACGGGCAAATGCCCAAATTGAACGCTGACATGCTCGCAACTTTCTGCACGGCAGAAACTCATCCGACGCAGGAGCGGGAAACGATCAATGGCGGAAATGGTGCACGAGCGTCTAAGCCGACATTCCGCCAACACCCTCCTCTGCATTAGCGTTCCGACCGGCCCTGTTGCACCTCAGATTCACAGACCAGTAAAAGGGGGGTACACATTTTCGACTAGGCTCTGGCTAAACTTAGCATATTTGCAACGAATGCAGACAATATGTATTCCCGTAATCTGACCGTGTTCCTTCGACTAGCCACCGACGTGCAGACCACGCCAGAGGAACTGACCTTGTCCCATTTGAGAGCATTGCGGTAACACTTGATGGCTTCGTCGTACTTGCGGTCCGAACGCTGTAGAAGTCCGTAGACGTGCCAGCCTTTGAGTAGATGTCAAGGAAACACAGGGAACAAAGCAGACACACCACACCGCTAGCCGACCAAGAGCCGGCAGAGATGCCTGTCGGCCGAAGATGTATACCTCGGTTATGATTGTGCTCATTCAAGCACTCACCAAGTGAACTTTTCGGGGTTTTGCATACCAAACCAACAAAGGGCATCTTCTGGCATGCCCCAGCGAAGGACTGGGGATCTTTTCACGTGGAACAAAAGACTTGGTTCCTGCCACCTGAGCACCTGTAGACCGGCACTTCCGATGCGGAGCCACCAAGGCGGCAATTTCAAGCACTTTCCAACGCTTGCATACCCGATTTTATCGTCTATTTACGTTGACTTACGATAAGCAGTAGGGCGCAACCGAAAAACTTATCACAGGGTGTTTAAAAGTTTGTGCGACACTTTTGGAACTTGTCTTGCCAAGTGGAAATAAAGAATTGTGAGGTTTTGTTGAGCATTTGTTTTCTCCCCTGAACATTTGTTTCCAGCCCCAGAACTGATTCACAGTGAACAAAAAGTGCAAAGAACTAGTGTGCATAACCTGCAAAAAATCCCAGAAAACTCGGCCAATATTAATTTCTGCACTTGTCAAGGAAAAGTAATTAAGATGCTTGCGAAACAGTGGTTGCAGATTTGACTCCAGTTAATTGCCCTCTTTTTCTTTGTTTTTGTTTAGGAAAGAGCTTTTCATATCTTTCACTTGATATCTATCACTATCCGTTTCCAAAAATTTATGAAATTATTGTGAAAATCATTGAAATACTTTGGAAATGGCACGCTTACTGCTCAAAGAGGTCAGGAAAATTAAAATTGGATGAATCAATTGTTTTTGGCACAGCCCTTTAGGATATATCAGGGTGGGAGAAATAAAAGCAGGCACATAGCCGGGAGGGGGGGGGGGCTCGTGAGGCCTGCCCCCCCCCCCCCCCCCCCCCTAATCTTCCGAAACAAAATCTTGGCTACAGGCCTGAATTAAAGCAATATCAACAATTTCCTCGCAGCGTAGTCCATAGTGCGTGAAGTGTCACATGCAAGCCACGCATACAATACGTGGCTTGCATGTGACATCGTTGCACTGTACGAACAGTCATTCCTACTTGTTCTTACAAAGAAAACGAAGTAGGTAGTGTCAAATACATGCTGCAGAAGGTGTGCGCACGGCAGCAAGGCCCTACACAATGGTCACTGAAGCGACGTGGGTGTCAAGTTCGTTCAGTTGCATTCAAGAAATAAAAATTCCTACTATTCTGAAATGGAGCACCACCAACAAGGCCCACGCACTTCGATAAAGCGGACCGTAGACTTCAAAGGATACAGACATGGCTCTTGAGGTCGTTTCGCAGTCCTTTTCGAACGTACTCGTATGCCTCGTCCTTCCTGCCTAGGCAGTTGAGTGTCAGTCCTTTCATTGCTAGCGTTTCTAGAACGAGAAAGACACACGGGCGAAAGGGTAAGGTAGGAAATTACGTTGTGCACACACGCCCATCAACATTGAAATCTGCAACGGTTGAAGTATAAGAGTGTCAGTCCTTTCATTGCTAGCGTTTCTAAAACAAGAAAGACACAGGGGCGAAAGGTTAAGGTAGGCAATTACGTTGTGATAACACGCCAACCAACATTGAAATCTGTAACGGTTGAAGTATAAGCATAAGACTCATTAACTCGAACCGTGTCAGTCGAGATCTTTTTAGAAGTCGGAACGATCGGAAATTTTCACACACGGACGTCAAAGCTTAAGCAAATTTAGAACTAAGCGTCAGTTTATTCGTGCTTCAGAAGATATAAATGGGGAAAAATAATATAATTTGCGATCGGCAGGCACTCACCTCCATGATCGGCGAATTTGGGGTTGGTCAGGATTTGCTTGGCGAACTTCAACCCATTCTTGTACTGTTTGTGTTCATAACATTTCTGCGAGAATACAAAAATGTGGCGTTAGTCGGACCGCGCGCTTCGCCTTCACGCTGGAACTGACAATTCTCACCACGAAGAAAAACTTTTCTTTTTTCGCGTTCAATGGTAACACGAGACCGTGATTGGTGGAAAAGAAAAAAACCAAGTGCAACGCGCCGGCTCAACTTCGGAGCGATGTTTCTTCGAGTGGTCAATCGTTTTCGTTTCGTTTTCGAGGTCGAGCGCGTTCGTCACGTCGCATCGCACGCTCCGGAAAAGTTTCACAGTGCGTAAAATTGAAAGAGCGTCTACACCCGAAGTAACCGCGAGATAAGTTCGTTCCTTCCGAGTCATGCAAGTAGGCCTAGACATGGATAGAGGCGCGTACTACGGACGCAAAGGTGCGGTACCCACCAATATCCTTTTAAATAGGGCGTTCTCTTTCGGCGGTAGCGGCTGGCTGGGAGACATCCCGCTGCCGACACGGAAGCCGAGATTTGTTTTCGCAAAAAGGACACCCCTTCAGGCAGCAGTTGTGTCACTACCGCGTGGTAAAATGCGTAAATGGCGGCCACTCGGCATCTCTCCTGCTACTCTCCAACCCATAAAGTGTGAAGTACTCTAAAAAGGCGTCAGATGGCGCAGACTCGCAATTTGGGTGGTTGCCAGGCAGAGCCAAAAACCTGCCGGATCGGGTAAACGGGGTAAACTTTTTGTTAGATTTCGGTTTCGCTTTCAGTTCCGTACAGGTTGGCGCTAAATTCAAGGAGCTCATTCTTTATTTTCCCATTAAGTTTAAGCCGAACAGATAACAGAGCCAGGGTCACGCACTTACGCATGCACGGTGGAGGGAACATCCTCGCGCTTGTAGTTTCGGCCTCGCTGGCGCTCAAGGTAAAACGAAATAGTATAAATAAAATGATGACAAGCTGCCGGCCCATTTGGGGCAGTGTGGGACACTCGAGTTCGCGAGTAAAGAACTGTATTTCCTCCTTTTCAAAGCCTGTAGGTCGGTACGCTGGTATGACTGTGTCAAGGCCAAGGTGGCCTTACCAATTTTATTTCAGCATAGTCGCGCCAGAGCACCATTCTACACATGGGCGTACCAACCGGGGGAGCAAGGGGGGCGCTTGCCCCCCCAGTTCTCAGAGTGGGGGGGCAAGGCATGTGTCTTGCCCCCCTGAAAAAGCCGCCACTGGGCACGGGAAACACTAGCCGGCGGTGCCACAGGCATACCAAGGGCACCGCCTCGGCCATGGGGGGTGGGGGGGGGGGTTCTGGTTTGCCCCCTTACTCAAACACAAGTTGGTACGCCACCGACTCTACAGGCACCGCAGTAGAGATATTTTAGTACACTGCAATACAGGCTCTTATAGCTTTTTGTATCAATGTTGCCTACCATTTCCTTGAACGATGGTCATGCTCCTGTTCCATGTTGTGTTCTACAGCGTCAAAGCCATTTTAACTGCATCAAGGAGGGGTGGTTCACATTCGAAGAGACAAGCCTATCCTTCAACTCACAGTAACCCAAGGAAGCACATCTCCCGGCGCAGGATACACTATTACATTTAAACTAAATAGAGAAGACATGATACATTTCCTACTTTTCCGAGGGCAGGGAGGCTCGATTTATCACCCTACAGTATTAGAGGCGTTGTATCAATGGACATCTGCAATGTTCGATCAGAATTTGGTCTTCCTATGGGGTGGAGGATCAGTTTGCAAGAAAGTGCTGGGCTTGGTTAAAATTGGTCTATGCTGTTACCCACGTGATTAGTCATCAAAGCAAGCATTCAGCCAATGAAATGTCTGCTTAGGCAGGCTGTCTATGGAATGTCTGCTCAGGTAAAGAAAGAACCCGGGAAAAAGCACCATATTCATGTGTGCAATTTCTGTTTTGCTCACCCAGAGAACACAGTTCCATTTCTTAACTGCAGATTGTAACACAATTTGAGGTCATGTGTCTTTGTTAGGCGTTCAGAAAATTTCTAACGAATGAAGGGGTTCTGGGTGCCATTTTATTTGTCTACACATTTGGCAACAAGTTTTCTAATAAATTGTACAGCTAGTCACCTGCAACCCCTGAAATTGGCCCCATAATCTACTCCGCTGTAATGAGCCCAGTGGCAGTGAAAAAAACCTACACTTTAAAGACTGTGCAGAGCAGTGCAGAATACTCTTGTAAACACATGGTCAGTTAGTCTATTCCATCTAGAATACATACCCCCTGTTTACCAGTACTGGGAAAGGAACTACCACACACACACGAAAGACGCTGTGAAAATGAAATGTTTATATGTACAGTGATCACCTAATAAAGGCCCGCGACTGAAGTCCCACGGATGTTCTTTGGTAGAACTACAGCTTCCTCCTGCAAGTTCAGAAAGGATAGTATGAGCAACAACGGCAGCTATGGTGAAATCAGAAATCAAGATGCATTACACAGGGGTGACACTGTCACTAACGAGCGAAACGCAAAGTCGCAGTCCCGGTGCACGGGATGCCATTTTGCTTTTGGCGTTTTCAGACCACTGCTGAGACAGCAATGCAGTCCACTGTGAGTGAGGCATTTAATTAGAACGCACAAAGGGACACTGAAAAGGTATTTACGCTTGCCGAGATTTGTACTGCCTTTACCGTGGTCTACTTGTGGTGATAACGCAGTTTACGAATATTGTATGAAATGCGGGCCGCCTAGGGCGCAAAACCATTCATGAAAACAGTTTAAGCACAAAAACCTAACTTCTGTGAACACCGAAACACGACAATGATTAAAAGACACGATAAACACTAAGTTGCTTCCCGTGACTTCTGTACACTTTGATGCCACAGACCCCGCTCTGGTCCCATGGCTTTCATTCGACTCTGTTAGCTTTTTAAGCAGAGGGTGTCTTGACACAATTATCTCATGTTTTGTGCAAAAAACTAACATGCCTTTTGAGGCTGTCAGTTGACCCTTCAGGCAACCAAATTTACATTAGCTGAGTCACTTTCCGAGCCTCGTCCCCCTTTCAGAAAATGCTCGCCATTGAGGCGGATGCGCCGAAGGTGAAATCAAAGGCTCAAAAGGACAGAAGCAAAGGCATACTTTTTTTTGGCTGGAGGGAGTCTGCCAAGCTTGGCCGCATCCAAAGAAGCCGAATCCATCGTGTCCACGAAGGAAGGAATGCCGGCGTCGGCCGGCAGCGGAGGAGAGTCGTTCACTATCACAATCTCTTCGTCAGGGTCCAGGTGCCTGAAAAAAAAAAAAGAATCACCCGGTTTAGACATTTTCTTACAGTGAGAGTGCGACAGCACCTGAAGGGGCAGCACTTGCTGTCAGAATGATAGGAAATGGCAGACAGGGTGAAGGCATTGGATTGTTTTCTCTGCAATGCCGCCGCGCATATGATCTTACCGTGAAATGCCTCTGCGCCTACTAGGTTCTTCTACTAGTATGCAGTCCCTACCCTACAACACAGCCTCCTAAGCAGTGGAGGAGGAGAGAGAGTGGAGTGTCAGAGTGCATCATTCACCCCCCTCCCCCACTCCAGGCACGGCACTAAGCCATTGCTAGCGTGTCAAGACATGAAACCTAGGGTGCCTTCGTGTGCGCTTCGCTTAGGTGACGACAACGGGTCATTTTGTTCCGAACGCTCATTTTCCTTTTTGGACCTGAAGTGCACAAAAGAGCGTCTCCTGGCACACACCCTTGGCGTCGTCCGAGCAACGGCGGAATCTTGCTTCCGGCAATTTCTTCGCACTTTCCCGATGGGCACGCACTGCGGGCATCGGGTACTACAAAGGATGTCATCGCCCCAAATAGGAGGACATTGAGGCACTCTAGTCAAACAAACAGCTGCACTCCACTGCTGACACTCCCTCCAATGGCCTTGCTACAATGCAACCAACACCAACATGAGCAAGCCATACAAAAGCCGTCGCTTTAAAAAAACAACACGGCCATTCCGTTCGCAACAGGCAACGACAGACGTTGGGCACGTACGGCGTTTGAAACGCGCACTGACCCGGAGGAAGCGGTCGAAGCCTTGCGATGGGGAAGCGCCTGCTGCGAATGAGGCTGCTGCTGGATGGTGGCGGGCCAGCGTATGGATTCCTCGTCCTTGAGTGCGTTCTGCTGCGCCCCTTCCATGTGCTGCAGGGCCCTGTGGAGTTCCTCGAGAGAATGGGCATCTTCGGCCGCTGTGTCGCCGACGACGGGAGCGCACGAAGCTTCCTCTGACTCCTCCTGGGAGGACGGGAAGTGGATCTCCGACACTGGTTCCTCCTTCACCCTAATGGGAGACAAGCAATAAAATTATGAGCCACGCCCCAGAAACGCAGCGCAACAGCCACTTCATACGTCCTAAATCGAGTCCGACCACCTACAGTGAAAGAACAAGCACCGGCACCACCTATCGGTCTTCCGATCTGCATATGACTACACCTAAGGTTTTCCGGCATTTGCGAGATTGAATCTGCACAGCATCTATGAGAAATAGTCACTTTTAACGTTACCGGAATTATTTCGAGCACACGGTGAAGGAATGACGGGTCAAATACGAGTAGGTTGGTGGCACGCCAGGCCTGCCCAGCAAGTGGCACCGGTGTGTTCTCTCGTAAGCAGTAAGGAGCTGCTACGAGGCAGTCGACCATACTCAGCTGCGAGGGAGAACAAGGACTAGACATAGGAATGCAATCTTACTAATGCAGAGTATACGTTGACGAAAGCGAAAGTTGGGATTTGCGTCGCGTCGCCATACCATGCTGCTGTCGGCTAAATTTAGCGAGCTAACACCCTCCCAAATTTAAGGGGGGAGGCTGGTCTTTAACTTTTGGTTTTTTATTTTTCATTTATCGTGCTGGAATTTAGTATACTGATGTATCTCTCTGTGGTGATTTCAAATATGCAATTTGTTTTGAGATAGCTCTACTAGATCTTGAGTTATTTATAAATTTGTAATTTTAATTAGGTCCTCCTTGCTGGTCGTTACCATAAAATTGGTCAAAATATATCAGAAATTTTTATAGAATTGCATTCACCAAGATATGTTTTGTGCGGTGATGCTATTTTAACACTGATTTAATGATATTTCATCGGTAAAAAACATTTGCAATCAAGTTGCATAAAACGGGAAGCTATATCTTCTTGGGACTAATTAATTAAAATTATTGTATGATATATAAAGCAGCAAAAATAGCATCACCGCACAAAACATGTCTCGGTGAATGCAATTCTATAAACATTTTTGATATATTCTAAAAAATTTTACGCTAATGACCCGTAAAGAGGACCTAATTAAAATGACAAATTTATCGGTAACTCAAGATCTAGTAAAGCTATCTGAAAACTAATTGCATATTTGAAATCACCACTGAGAAATACATCACTATACTAAATTTCAGCACGATAAATGAAAAATAAAAAACAAAAAGTTAAAGACCAGCCTCCCCCCTTAACAGAATATCATCACGGGTCAGACAGACGGTAACGCGACCAAGCCAGGTCACGTGACGTCACGGGGCACAGTGCTTGGTGACGTGACACCACTACTTGACAGCATGTGTCGTCATGATGCCCAGACTTGCACACATGTACTGCATGTGGGGCGTTGTGGTGGTGGATCGAAGGAGCGCCTTAATTTCTTAATGCTCGAAGCAAAGACCCTCGCGCACTCTTCAGTAAAAAAAGTGGGACGACTTCCTCTTAAAGGTGTAGTGCCTTCGAAGCAAGCCGCCCCCGGCGCCCTCCTGTGTCCAGCCCTCGTCTTTCTCGCCCGTGTTTTCGAGATGCCAGTTATGTACCGACTAGCCCAGTTTTTAACACTTTTAGAGGAATGCATTCATTAGGGCTAAATTAAATGCTACGCCACAAAAGCACACTCTGACGAGACGCATAAATTTTGTCACTGAAAAGTGAAGAATTCCACACCTCTTCAAGTCTACTGCCATGGTTTAAAAGAGATGCATTCACATCTTTCTTATTCATGCGAGATGGCACTTGACGAGATGCCGATGAATCGATTTACGCGATGTATCGAACTGCAACGCTACCAAAACGACAGGGACGAGGTGGATGTGTTCTTTTAAAGGCTCTGTCGGGACTGAGCGAGACACTTTTCCAGAAGTTATGCCAATGTTAACTTTAAACCAGAACTGGGGAAAAAAAAAAAAAGCGGAACACTCGTTTGGTTTGCTAGTCTCCAAGACTAATCGACCGCCTACTTGATGTTCTTGACGTCCTCCAGCAAGGCTTTGGAAGGCAACTTGATCTTTTCGTACGCCTCGTGCAGTCTTCTGCAGGTGCTGAGCATGTGCCGGTTGTAGTTGAGCACACGCTCTTGGAAGAACGTCGTCAGCGACAGCAGGCCCGGGACTCCACACTCATGCAGCGCATGATCCATCGCATCCTGAACGGAAGCAAACACGATGCTGTCCATGTAAGCAAGTGTCTGTACCGCCTGCATTTCAGCTGCGGAGTATGTGCTGCTTTTACGAAAGTAATTAGGTCGCCCCCCTTGATTTTGCGTAATGTGATGTTATCGTTTGGTGCAAGAAATAGGCCCTCTCCAAAATTAAAAAAAAATGCCGAATTGAAACTGAAAATATTCCTCTCACATTCACAAATAAGCTAAACATGATCAACTCTATCTGGTAATAACAATCGCACGCTTGTATTTTGAATGGATGGCTATACTTTTCGTTCCAAAGGGCCAATTTCTCGGCAAGCGCTCGAAGATCAGGCATCGGAGAGTGCAATGCATCACGGGAGACGTGACATCAGTTTGACCAGCACGGGCAAAGCTCCTTCGGGGCTGGCGTGGTTATGAGCGGCGGCGACGCGTTACAGCCTGGCCGTTTTAGTAGGCCCTCCCTGCTCCACACAAGAGTTGAATAGGCAGAGAGGGAAGGGAAATCCGGTTAGACAGGGCTCGCACGCACGCAGCTTGCCCTCATATTTCCAAGAAGAGCCATTGCTCTTAAGTGCAGAGTGACGTAATGACATTCCATTTATTTCTTTTAAATAATGCTTTAGTGTCTTTTCGTGCAAATAAATTGCTGTCTCCGTGGTGTGGTCAGAACGTGATAGACGTTTAGACAATAAAATAAGTGCTAGAATTTCCTTGCAGTATTCCTTTAAGTGCCACCTAGTGGCTCAAATGTAGCATAATTGTACACTGTACAGTTCATCTCTCTCAGTTGCGATGGTTACAAACATATAACCGACCAGAATGAAGTGCAAACCTACACAGACGCCTCAATAACGTCCTACACATCAAAGGGCTAAATTTAGAGTCGATCGTGTGCCGCCCCCAGAATGACTTGACCCGAGCAAGAAATGAATGCTTAATCATCTGCCTAAGAGCAGCTTCAACATTTTCCTTGACCAATAATCAGAACGCTGCCGTTCGTACGGCAATATGCCATGCCTCAAGCGACGATAGTAATCAATTCCATGTGACAACCTTGACATTGGGGCTCGACGTACCGGGTGCGACCAGAAGGACTGACGCGTTTGGCATGCCTTGGAAATTTTGAATTCTAGATACACATAAAGTAATCCCTCCTTATAACGAAAACAATGGCAGGAGTTCTAGGCTGTATAATCATACGCCGGCCGTCCCCCCCCCCCCCCCCCCCCCCCCCCAAGAAGTCTTATGTGAAATTTTTCTGAGCTCAATTAAAAGGCAGTAAATATTAAAAATAGAAAAGATATGGCGGCCATGCATTTACTACAGCCTATACAAGATGTTTGTCGTCTGCACACTGGTTTGTGAGCTTGCTCCCAGATGGTCAATGTTTGTATATTTCATTAGAAGTGTGATCACCCCCATCTTGCTCGTCACCAGCCATTACTATAAGTTGTCACCATTTTTGCGTTCAGAAAGCCACCCGGGAGCGAGCTCGTAAACCGGTGTGCAGACGACAAACAGGCAGGTATCCGGAGGGCAAGTTCGTCTGCTTCTTGCGCAGGAGGTAGCGGTGACGTCAGAACGCCGAGCCCTGATTGGCTGATCGCGACCCCCTATCTGAGCGTCGTCTGCTCCTTTGCAACGTCATCTGCTCGCAACGTCGTCTGCTCGCAACGTCGTCTGCGTCTGTCTTACCTTTTCTGCGACTTTCGGAAGGGCAGAGGCCAGATTTACGAAACGATCTTACGCCAAAAATGTACGTAAGACAAAACTTAAGAACAAATTCGTATTCACGAAACGAAATTTTCGTAAGTTTTGCGCAGGTTACGACGAAATCTTACGGCAGCTCCGAAGCTGTCTTGCGCACTTCTTACAATCAAATCAGCATGGCCGACAGCGTCGCGGTCGCGACGACCCACGGACGTTTATTTTTCTACCTGCGCTTCTGACGCGTCCCGACTTCAAGCAGCAAGAACAAATTAAGAAGTACTTGAAACAGACCATGACGAACAAGAACGCTGGATCCACAAACACCCGGGAAAAGCTCCAACGGCCACGATTTCACCGAACGTGACCAAACGAGCTGGGCAGTTAGGCCTAGCAGGCACTCCACGACTCGGCGACCGTCTGCCCCCGACCGGCTGCCGTGCTGAATGGAATATGCCCGCGCGACCCTTGTGAACCCTTCCCGTATTATACTTTGATCGCTGACTTCAATTTTAGATTAAGAGGTCAATTTCTTCCTTTTGTTATCTCCGTGCTTCCCAAGACAACGGTGACTCTCGCCGGTGAAAAAGCGGTGAATCCGACAGACGCCGGAAAGGTAAAGCAGCCATCGCTCTCACTAGCAGACGTAAAGCAGACGACGTTAACTGCACCAACCCGCCGACGCCGTTAAAGAGTGAGGGGTCTCGCCGCACACGAATGGAGGGAAAAAGTATTTGGGAGGGAACTTGCGGACACTAACACGCTCACTCTCGGTTCTTCGCAAACAAACCTTGGCGCCCTGGGACACCTCGCCAGTGAATCCTTTGACTTCCCTGCTTGATGCGCGTCTGCTAGTTGTTAGGCAAAAACAACTTACCGCTCGAGTTATTTCGTCTGCCCTCTCTTAAAGGCGAAGTCGAGTTCGCTCCGAAAGTCGCAGGAAAGGTAAGACAGACGCAGACGACGTTGCGAGCAGACGAGGTTGCAAAGGAGCAGACGACACTCAGATAGGCGGTCGCGATCAGCCAATCAGGGCTCAGCGTTCTGACGTTACCGCTACTTCCTTTCTCATGCGCAGAAGACGAAAATGAGCCCACTTGCAAGGCGTATAGGACACAGGAAATGTATGGCATCTGATTTTGCTTTGTTTTTAATATTTCACTACCTCCGAGTAAAGCTCTAAAAAGAACAGACAAAAAACTTCTTGCGAGACAATGTTTGTACACCCAGGTTCAGGTACGCACGTTGAAGATTAGACATTTGCAAGACGTGCCAAATGAGTTGGTCCTTACAGCCACACCCTGTAGGTGACTGATCTTCTGGAGCACTTACCACGAAACCAGTCTGTCCCGTAAGTGCTTCCCTGTCCACGATGAAACGTAGCTGCCAACACAGCCGCTGGTAGAACTCTCCGCACAGGTCAGTCAGGACCTCCAGCACAGAGTTGGGAGCCGCTACACGTGCAAAGAGAGGCAAACCAGCTTTAATTGCGAGGTATGCGTAACGCAAACCAGTGGCAAGGAACTGGGCGACCCTTCTCCACCTTTTGAGACTGCAAAACAGCTAGTGCCTCAGGTACGGCCATCGGCTCTGTTCCACCATTGGCAACCCAGAATATGTGGATTATTCATTAGAGCTAATCCCCGTTTTGTTGGTTATTGAAAAGATGTATACATGGGAACATCTGACCGAGGGAGAAAGGAGCAGTATGCGCCCTGTCAATGTATTTTTTCTTTTCAAAACGTTGCAGTGTGTAAAGAGAAAGGGATGCGAATCTGCTGAAAAGATGGACGGTGCTTGCGCGGCAGCACGCGAGATGGTTCAGTTTTTTTTTTGTTAAAGGGTTTGTTTTTAATGCAAGTATTCGGAGCAAGAGGTACGCCAAGACTTCCACAAGTTTTGGCACCCAACATGGGGCATCTGTGAAGGTGTCTCCTACCACCGAACCAGATTAATTTGAACGGTCCAACTATTATCCTTCCGTTCTATCCAACACATGAAGTAGATTGAATAGTTTGAATAGTTGATTGATTGAGTAGTACACGTGACTGAAAATCTCAACACTTTGTCTCTTTAAATTCAAATATTCGTACAGAATTAGTAAAAACCTTAAAGGGATGGTGAACCGAAATTTGAATATAAAGAAAGAACAATGCAGGAGATGTAGGCGGGCCGCTACAATCCCTACAACACTACTTGTGAGGCAATATCTCAAATGGACGGCTGTATTTTTGGAAAAAGAGGTCGAGATTGAACCAGGCCGACGAGGCGCGGGACATCAAGATATCTCATTTCCTCCTCTCCTCTCTTCGCTTTTCCCCCTGAAGGCGGCGAGGCGGAGAAGACTCAAGGCCCTTCCCTCTCCTTCTCGGAGAAACAAGACGTAAACGTATCTGTCAAATGCGCCTCCTTTTTTTTAAAAGATACGGTCATCCGTTCGAAATATCGCTGTAAGAGTGATGTTTTGGTGTTTGTAGCATTCCGCTGCACGCTTCTGCCGCTGTGTTTAGTGGAATCCAGATTTCGGTTCAGCATCCCTTTAAAGGGACACTGACAGAGTATGTATGCTCGCCAAGGTTTTTATTTGTACATGACACATGAGACCAACTACCCAGAACACAATCTGCGGCTCGAAATTCGTTTTCTTTCCACTAGAAAACCGTCGATTGAGAACAGGCCGGTTTGAGTCGTGCTCTCTCTCTCCTCTGAAGTCACGTGCCGAAGTCACATGCCACTTTCTATGGTTTAGACACAACCACCAAATATAATCAAAGTCGTGGGCTATCGAAGGCAAGCACTCAATATTAAAAATAAAAAAAATAAATAAGAGACCCATTTTTTGTGGCTTCTAGAAAACTGCAAACAGGTTGAATTAAAAAGAAAAAAAAAGTCGCACAGCCACGTGACTTTTGGCAACGCTCTCCTCCTCTATATTTCTTCTTCCTACCTACTCCAGTTTTGGTTTCAGTTTCGAGCAGTTGCGTTTTTGTACTTTATTAAAAATATATGTGACGCTGTAGCGGAATATTGATTGGCTAGTCTTGTGACACCTTATTAAATTGCCTGGCAGAAAGTTAATAAAAAAATTTCTGGGGTGTGTCAGTGTCCCTTTAACGCATAAATAGGCTTTTTAAGATGAAACCTGTAACCCATGTTGACACTCGTATGAGGAGTGCAGAGAAAGCAGAAAACAAATGGGCCGAGAACAAATAGACTGGAGTGCAGAATAGGAACAAAATAGGAACGTCTGTGTGACACAATACAGAGAGTAGACAGGCCCACCGTCAAAACCAGCATGAGCGCAAACAGCGGTGACAGCACGCTTGAGAACCACCCGAGTTGCATTGGAACCAAGCTGTACCGGCGGCTTCCAATGGGCCCTCCTGGGAAGAGCGTAGATCATAGGAGGCAAACTTAATCATCACTATCAAAGAAATCTCGAGGTACACCCGGCAGTGAACGAAGAAAACCACTTAATGAAAAAAGTTTAATATAGAACTATAAATGCATCAATCAAAGATTTTTTTTTTTCCTAGAGCCACAGCAGACATTGGTCAGCACGCTGAAAGATATACTTGTTTTTTGTAAATTTGAGGATGTTATTAACTGGCTGAAAAGGACATACCCTTCCGATTCCATGTCCAGTTGGTTGGTTGAAGGAATAGTCAGGCCAGGGATACACGGTCCCTCTGGTATGCTTGGCAGGTATTCGGCTTCCAGAGGTTTCTGGGACCAGAGGGCACCCAAGGCTCAGTCACAAAGTAACAAGACAATCTTTGAAGGGCAGCATTTACGCCGCTTAATTTCCTTTTCGGATCGTTTAGACATAAACCGAAACGTAAATAATGCAGCATGCAGCGAGTGCAATGAACACAAACATCATACTGCCTGTTAAGACAAAATTGATGCTATCTTTTATGCCTATGGTATTTCTGGAATTTTGCAGAAAGAGCTTGTGCAAGTTGGGGAACAGACTGCAAAACGGTTGCTCGAGACAATGGACCTTTTCCATATACTGACGGCACCAGGCGGTGGCTGCACGAACTAAAAATCGAGGTATGACCTACCTCCGCTACCAATCGATAATGGGAGCTACGCTACCAGTTTCTACGCTCTTTGAGCTGCGGCGCGTGCCCAACGCTACTTTAAAAAGGGTCCTCCAAGGCGTCCACCCAAACGAGGTGTTTTTCGTTCCGGCCACTTTCTTTTTTTGTGTAACACAGTTATAATATATGTGCTGCAATTACGTGTTCTACTCGCTGATCTATAGCCGCCTTCCGAATTTCCTCGATTTTTCGTGCCGACTTCCGCCGCTTGGCATCGGGCGCTCGTGCGTGCGCAGAACGCTTCTCGGAAAAGGTCCGTTGTCAGCTGAGGTGTTTCACGATTCCTTATAGTGGCACATACAATATCCTTGTCCTGCTGCTGAAGGCCATTCAGGAGGGATTGGACTTTCTTGGCATGCTGTATCAGAGCGATGGTGTGCGATGTAATGGGGTCCACCACACCCAAGTCAGGAGGAAGACGCTTCCTGAAACAGAAGAAAGGCAAAGATTCATTGAACAATAAAAAAGATATATGTTCCGTCGGCTGCGATGCAGTTCGATGCAAGCGTTATAAAACCATGACTAATTATGCTTTCTAGTCTCTATGAGACCAGTTGTAGTTCTCATAATAGTCTGACACTGCAGAAGACCCTCGAGAAAATAAAATTTCTCTCGTGTCCCAATTTTTTTTGACAGTAAGGTAGCTAAAACTCGCTGCGATTCTGAAACTGTGCTTCCTTACATCGTCTCCGTGACCCCCCTAAATGCACACTTTGTTGGCAGCATCTCGGGACTCTAGTCAACACTTTTTCGCTTCACTAGACGCGGACGATGACGCACTACTTATTAATATAATAACATCTTTATTCAACCCTGGAGGCTTCCGGCACCACAGAAAGGCCATCGGCCCATATCTGAGGTCTGTGATGTCGAGCTAACATCACAATGTTTTGTTTAAAAAACAAAACAAAACAAAAAACACCGACACTGACAACCACTTGCGATCACGATCACATTCCGAGAACTCACTGGTGAAGCTGATCTCCGTGTGCTTGGCCCGGTTGATAGAGATCGGCGCCTTCGATTGACACAGGCCGCGGTTTGGTAATCTGCTCTCGTTCGATCGCCGCGATACCAGATTCTGTTTCGGGGACCAGGGGAGGCAGATCGCCCCAGCGTGACATGTTTTCCGGGGCGGCGAACTAGATCTTAGTCGAAATGACACCAACGTAGGACTTCAAGGCGTTTTTTGACATCCCACAAGGTTGCACACAAGAGCTTCTATGGTTTACCTGTCAAGCACAACAGTCAACGCGACTGAACGACTGAACATACGCAGAGCCTCTGAACATACGAGCAGTATCTAGCAGTATCCTCAAGTTGCAACACACATTGCCTTGAAAAAAGGAAAAATATGGGACCACCCTCTGTACTTCTAGCCACCATAACTGTATGGGACGAAAATAACTGTCGTGGATAGATAAATTAATAACACAAAACTACAAGACACATAGACGTATATCAACTCAACTTGTTCTTATGAAGCGTTGACTAGCGGCAGCTGACGGGTAGCATTGCAACTAAAGATAAAGCGGCCACCAGGACCGCGCATTTTGAAAAGACGAAGATTTGTCATAATCACACCAATGTTTTATTGCATTCCACAGTCTTTTCTATAGGATTGGAAAGAAAATTCTCGCTCAAAAAGGTGGCATCTTCTCTATGTATGGAATTCTAAGCACGAAGACCGCAATTTCATCCCCTGTAAGTTGAAACCAAACACCTGTACTCGTAAATGCCTCGTTCAAAGCTTACGACAGCTGATATACCTCGAGAAAAACAACATTCCTGAATTCCGACGCGGCAGCATTGCTGGCTACTGTGAGCGACAGGAGCAGCAAAGCGAGCGTGCTCCAACCCACTAACTCAAAAAGAAGGAAGCGGCCATGACGTTAACCTGAGACTGGGGCACGGAAGCAGAAAACATTCAGACGCGGAAGAGACGGGCAAAAGCAGATGACAGACAACATCTTCAACTTTTCTCAGACTAAATTGTTTCGAGACATCGTCTCAAAATCCCGTAGTAATAATAGCTTCGTTCGATTTGGCTGCTCTTCCTAGACCGGTGCAGAAAAATATAGGGCAGTGTACAGGGTGTCACAAAAGAAAATTTACAGAATCTTTTTTACCGCAAAAATAAACTAGGCATCGCGGAGCGCTCATTCTCCGCTCAAAGGTAGCCCTAGAGGCCACAGCCAGATGCCAAAGTTTCAGCCCAATCCGATAACTTACTCAAAAGTTTTAAGTGATTTTCTGAAAATTTCAATGGGAAAATGGCGGCCGACGGAGTTTTCGAATACATATGGAGCTCTATGGCACCAGAAACAGAAAATGGGCAAAAATGGGCTGCATTTTCCCATTGAAATTTTCAGAAAATCACTTATAACTTTTGATTAAGTTATCGGATCGTGCTGAAACTTTGGCATCTGGTTGTGACCTCTAGCGCTGCCTTTGGGCGGAGAATGAACGTTCGGCGATGCCTAGTTTATTTTTGCGGTAAAAAAGACCGTCTAAATTTTCTTTTGTGACACCCTGTACTTCCGGTTTGTATTGAGACACGACCGGAAGTACACCGCCCTACACTTTTCTGCACCGGTGCAGCAGGTGTAGGTAAATCGAACGCAGCTATTGTGCACGAAAAAAAAAAAGAGTGATTGTTGAGTTTTTTTTTTTTTTTTTTTTTTTTTTTTTTTACATTAAAGTCAGGGAAAGGGGAAGGGAAAGAGCTGGCGAAAAATTGTGCGAAGGTTGCAGGTTCGATCCCCGCTCCTGGCCCAATTTTTCGCCAACTCCCACCAACAGAGGTATTTTAACCAACCTTGTGATCCCACCACACTTGGTTTCTCTGGCTCTAACCAATCCGTGGTTAAAACCGCCGCCGCTGCAGCAGCTCCCCGTCCTCAGAAAGGCCGTCACATCCATGCTCAAGTCAGGAGTCAGAGAACTAACAACAAGAGGGCCCTACCTCAGCCTAATTCAGCTTGCCCCAAAGAGCAGTGAAAAATCGCGATTCATCCTCAACGCTTTTCGGCCCACACCATATTAAGAGGCGCCGAAGTTCAAACTGAAGCACCTACTGGTCGCATTGCTGGAGAATCACCTTACACGAAAACGAATACAAATAAGAAAATGATAAAATACCGAAGGTGTCACGATGTTATGAAAGTAATGAATATACAAAGGATATGATCGGACATTTTTACTCATCTGACGTTTTGACACGTGAAACCTTACAACATATTCATATAATCTTTAAACTCATATAACTTGTAGACAAGTCTTCTAAATCTATTGGATCAATTGAGTCTATTTCAGACGAATTACGAGGTTTTCGGGCTTCAAAGGGACTCGTCCAGGCTCAAGGACAGAACACACTATCGAAGACCCATAATTTTTGTCGAAGCACACTTTGTGTGTGTGTTTGTGTGTTTGCGTGTGTGCGTGTGTGTGTGTGTTATCTGGGCCGGCTTGTTAGAAACAGCGTCTCAGCTGAGACTGGGTGAAAGAAAGCACTGCCATAGCCTCCTCCATACTCGCAAAGCCTGGCAGTTCCACGACGGAGCCTAGAGTGCCGGTCGCAGATTTGAAGCGCGAGGATCAGGTAGCACAGAGCATTCGCGTTCACACTCTTGCAACCGAGTACGACTGAGAAAGACTTCTTGGGACCGCATGCACTGAGCGGAGCTGGTCCTAAGAGATCGCAAGAGGCTTAAAAACCGGTTTGGTCTCTCTCGGTCGCACTCGGTTGCAAGAGTGTGAACGGGCCTAAGAGCTATTTCTCAGTGAACCTGGACGTCAGCGCACAGCTTTTGTAGCGGCGAGGACCCGGAACACACTTTCGCGGACTCGCGTCTCGCCGCAGCGTCTCCTGGCAGCGGCGAGACGCTGCGTTTCGGCGTCTCGCCGCAGCGGGGCGCCAGTTACGTGGCTCTCTTCTCATCCGTTGTCTGCCGCTCCAGCTTTTACATTTTGGCAGCCGCTTCTCGTGGCGATCTGCCAGGGCCCAGGCTTTGTCAGTTTAAATATAGGAGACTATGGCACTGCTAAAGCCAGCGCGCGAGATGAGCGGGACCTAAACTGCGACTCAAGACGCTCGCGCGCCCCATGCCTTTACAGTGCTTTCTTTCACCGAGTCTTAGGTCAGACGCTGTTCTAGCAATCCGGCCCTGATCTTTTTGTTTACTGCACAACTCCATAAACCCGAGGACTAACAAGCACTAAAAAAGAAAACAGTACGCATTTATAGGGCGCCTCGATGTTCTTCTGTCTAGGGTAAGGCCTTCCTTATAGTACCCGATACCGACAGTACGCGCTCACAGGGAGAATACAATGAAATCGTCGAAAACAAAATGTCGCTGTTGCACAGGTCGCGCCAAGCGCACGTGCAGGAACACGTTCTTTCACGCACTTCAAAAAAAAAAAAAAAAAAAAAAGGCGTTTGGAACAAAATAGTTAGATGCAAGCGCAGATGAAGGCACCCTACGCACAGAGGACAGCTTGGCCAGCTGGCGTGGCCTCGCTGACAGCTCGTCAATAGACCTAATGCTATATTACCCAAGCATCAAAGAGAATGCAGGGATTGGTGTTCCACGCGCCGCACGTGCTGGCCTCAGCAGTAATAAATTTTCTCATGAAAAAACCTAAAACAAATTGTATCTTGCACCCGCGTTCGTCAACACTTTATTTTGGTTATTTACTTCGAATCTTTTATACGGGGAAGGCTTGCGCGTGTGGCACGTGGAACAGCGATCCCTGCATGCTCCTTGATGCTTGGGTAATATAGCAAATGGTCTCATGGCCACGCCCTTTCCGTCATCTTCGAGCCCAACCGACGCCATGGGAACATATGCCCGTATGCTTGGCTCTCGGCTTTCTCCAACGAATGACTGTTTTATCGTGTTGTAAGTCATCTGCTAGCAGTATTTGGGCTCTGTGATGTTTATTCTGGAGCCATATTAAGTTAGTTCCCTGTTGCCTTGTCTATCCCTCCGTACGCGCCGCGTCACAAGCCTTTTCATGACGCTTCGCAGACGTTCGGGGCGTCGCGCAAATTATACGCACTCGTAAATTTCGCCATTTTCTGTTCTAGGTGACGCCTTTTGTTATTTTAGCAGTGCGCAAGGATAACAACTTCTAATCCCCAGCTGAGGAGCTTTCCGTAGAGTGTTCTGATAAGTGAGCGCATACCAGAATGTCATTGTTGCCCGCGTTTTTGAAGAAAAGTATCCGTTAGATTGTAAAGGGGGCTGAAGCCCTTCGTCCGAGAGTTTCCTAATAGCTTTGTTTCTTCCTAATTGCATTTACTCTTGACTATGCGTCACAGCGTGTCATGCGAGATGGCTTGATCGAAGCGATCGCTACTCCTGATATGGGATGGCCACGCCGTGCATGCATAACGCGTGCCTCCACCGAACTCTCTCAGCAATGAAACAGAGATCTTGTTCTCCGAACATCTAGGAAGCCGGAAGGTTACGAAGGAAGAAAGAAAATAAATGAAGGTTGTGCGAGTTGGCTGGCATTAAAAACGGCGCCGTCACTAGCGTTTTTCGCAACGTATAATCTATCTATTTTATAACGGAAGGTTACGAAACAAACATCGAGCGACTCCTCGTCAGGTGGCTTTCAATTGATTGGCCGTTCCTAACAGCGCTGAGATTCCAGCATCCATCGTCATGTTATTACATGAAAATTAATGGAAGAGAGAAAGACAACAAAACTAACTTACCTTCATATCAAAAATAACATTTATTAGAAGGCCTCAAATAATAAATTCATTCACTTCGCGGTTTGGAGAATAAGGCAGGGGAAAACGCTATTATCCACATTACACATTATTCACATTACATGCGAGCTTTTTGTATTAACTAGTTCGCTAGTTTTCGTCGCTGGTGCGACGAAAACTTCATTTTATGAAAAGTTTTAAGATGAGACAAGCATTCTTACTTTACAAAGACGGGAGCGTTTGCGGTGGGCGTCAACAATAGACCTTTCACTAATTACCCAAGCATCAAAGAGAATGTGTTGGAACGTATGTACGCTGCACGCCCTCGCCTTCGCATACGAGAGATTCGAAGTAAATATCCAAAATAAAGCGTTTATAGAACGCGCATGCGAAGTTCCGTTTGTTTTAAATGTTTGCTTGTGAAGAGTTACAGCTGCAGCAGCCAGCACGCGCAGCGCGTGTACCTACGTTCCCGGCATCCTATAGCTTGTATGTTCGGGTAATTCGGCAAAAGGTCTATTCTCGCACTTGATTTATTCAACCATACTTTGCGACGTTCTTCTTATTTTTTTTTTCTTCTTCTCTTTTTTAGAATTATAAAAAAAAAAAATAAAACGAAAACCGAGACGGCTGTGATTGGAACATCCAACCGCACTACGAACGACGATTTTCTCACCAGAAAACCTAAATATAAGGGTATGTATGCAGGATGCCATGC